TGGCACGCGGACAAGGAGCTGTACACGCTGCGGTACCAGGCCCAGGACGACAGCCGGGAGCTGCTGCTCAAGGCCATCATGGTGGACACCAGCATGATCCTCAATGTCATGGTGAGCCCCGGGCACCGGCTGAGCCCGCTCCTGGGGGGAGCTCGGGGCCCCCCCTCGGGCCCAGGCAGCTCCATCCCCGATGCCACGTGGGGCTGGGAGACGCGCCCCGGGGACCCAGCTGCCCTGGCAGCTCGGGTGTGCAGCCCCAGCGCGGGTGGGGAGCGGGCCGTGGCGCCTGCTCCCATCCTCTGGCAGCTGACACGGCCCTTCCTTGCCCTCGCCCAGGACCGCAGCTCGCTGCAGGTGGCGGACGTGACCTTGAACGTGGCAGACTACGTGGACCCGGAGCACCTGGATGACTTCCACATGTAACCGCCGGGGCGAGCGGGGCTGGAGCCATTGAGAGCTGGGGAGGGGCAGCCCAGCACGTCCCCGGCTCTGAGCGGGGAAGCTTTGCACCCACATGTGGGCAGCTGCAGCCATGGGCAGGGTCTGCCAAGGGGCCACGGGCTTTTCAGTGGGTCCTTGCGGTATTTTGAACATGTGCGGTGCCACGTTCCCATCGCACTCACCCCTGCGGGGGTCCTGCAAGAAGCTGGTGATCAGCTGCCCGCTGTCCCCTGGGGGGGTTAGCCTGGATGCAGCGTTATGAGGCATGTTTCCCCGGGGGCATTGCCAGCATTAGATGATACAGGGTAGAGGAGCGTGTACCTGGACGGGGCCAGCCAGGGGATGAGAGGCGCCTGTTCCCCCCTGCCCTCCCTGCAAACTGCCATTACAGGAGCGGGCAATTATTTTGGGCAGAGGGCCACTCACTGAGTTTTGGCAAGCCATCGAGGGCCACATGACAGGCAGCTGGGGGCAGATAAATATTAATTTTCTAAATTTTTTAGGGACCCCGCAGGCTGGATAGAATGACCTGGCAGGCCACATCTGGGCCCCGGGCCACATTTTGCCCACCCCTGTGCTAGCACGATGGCTCAGCTCCCCAATCCCTCAGGCTGGCAGTGGGGCAGGTGGCCCCAGCATGTGCCCAGCAGCCATCCCTCTCCGTCCCCGCAGGGTGTACAAGAACGTGGAGGAGCTGAGGACGAGGATCATCTCGGGCATCATCTCCCCGTTCAGGACCGACGAGGAGAAGGACAACAAGAAGGAGTCCAAGCCGGAGAGTACGGTCCCACCAGCTTCCCACCGCGACTACGACCCCCTGAGGATCCCGCCCCGGCAGCCCCCGCTCAGTAGGGAGCCCCCCTGGTGAGTGGGGTGGAGGGGGCAGGAAGGGGGTGGCAGAGCACAGAGGCCACCTGTGCTGCCCCCATGCGCCCCATGTCCCCTCCCAGCTGTCTTCTCCCCAACCTTGGTGTTGCACCGTGGCTCCGAAGGATGCAGGAGCAGCCCCAAGCCCCCTCACCCCATGTCTGCCCACGTTGGCTGGCAGAAGAAGGAGCCAGCGGGTGTAGTTTTCAGCTGGCAGGTGTGTTTCAGAGTCGTGGGGGTGCAGGACCCTGCCACCAGCATCCCTGGCAAGGAGCTGTGGGCAAAACGGGGGCCGGAGAGTGCCCTGTGAAAACCCCCTCCCCACCTGGGCCCTACAGGACACTGACCTGCGCGCCTTGCTCTCCAGGCCACGGCACCAGAGTCCACGTGCACAGGGGCTGGCCCAGTGCCCACGTGCCTGGGGCTGGCCCAGTGCCTGGGGCTGGCCATGGCAGTGCCGGCTCCAGGTCTGCAGCACACTGGAGCTGGGCATGGTCCCAGTGAAGAACCGCAGCCTCCGCTGCTAACACGCTCTGACACGCACCCCCTGCATGCCCGCCACATCCTCCTGCTCCCTCCTGCACGCGGCACCCCACCGAAGTGCACGGCTCTGTATAGCTGGTGTCCCGCCTCGCAGTCACTGTGTCTTGTCTTGCAGGCCATCTCCCCTGGGCCCCTTTGCAGTGGGCGGAGAGGACCTGGACCCCTTTGGGTGAGTATGGCTGGGGAGGTGGGGCGCTCCGCCCACCCCCACAGCCTTTCCGGTGCCCCCTTGGAAGTGAAAGCAGCCGTGTCCTGCTTGTGTGGGGTGGGATGCATTGGATGCCTCCAAAATCCCTTAAATCGACTCATGCCTGGGTTTCCCACGTGGATGCCGGTGGGGCAGTTGCTGCATGCAGAGGGCAAGGGACTCCCCCTTGGTGCTGGCAAAACCCAAATGTGGTTTTGATCTCACAATGGGCTCCTACAGCCTGCGGCACCTGAATAATCAGCTGGGATTCATTTAACATGCAGTAATTCCTCTGGTAAGACGAGGCTGACCGTGGAGCTCAGGGCGTGTAAGCCTTGCATTTAGCATGTTGCCAGCTGTCACCTCAGTGGCCCCTAAAGCTGGTGGAAGGGAGGGGGGAAGGATTTGCCCCCTTCTCTGGTCCCGTATGTGACCCTGCAGCATGGGCTCAGCAGGAGCCTTTGGGCTGGGGCCAGGAGGATGCCGGACTGATGCATCACGTCTGCTGCGTGCACCAGCCTCGCCTGTTGTGGGGAATCCATCCGCAGTCAGAGGGGAACACAGCCAAGCTGGGCAGAGCTAGGAGCAATGACCTCAAGTGGCAGCAGGGAGGAATTTAGGCTGGAGATGAATTTTCTGACTCTGAAAGAGGTCAGGCATTGCAACAGGAGCCCAGAGGAGTTGTGTAATCTCCATCCCGGGACATTTTCAAAAGCGGGTTGGGATGGTTTAGTTGGGGATGCTCCTGCCATGAGCAGGGGGCTGGACTAGATGTGACTTTGTGAGGTCCCTTCCTATGATCCTACACTAGAACCAGCCCCTGGAGACACAAGCCAGCTCCTCACTGCCCCGGAGGCCCGGGATCAGATTTTTGCCCTTTCGGAGGGCAGGCAGGAGGGCTGGAAAAGGGCCAAGGGGTGGACGTAGAGTGATCCTAGGCTAAAACAGACACCCGGTCGGATGTGGCCCTGCGTTGGCTGGCATATCGCTCACATCCAAACAGGCATGGACAGTTGTTTACACACAAGCTTGAATGGCAATTAGCTTGAATTAGCCGCGACCAAAGCAACGCATCGATTTGAATAGGTACCTAATGCTCCGCGGTCTGTAACGTCTGGGTTTGAGGCAGCACAAAACGCTCTGATGCGATCCAACCGGTTGTCTGTTTTTAGCCCCACGTAGCAGCGAGAGGGGATGGGGAAGGCGCCGTGCTCCACTGCTCTCACAAAGGCATTTCGTCTTCAGTGCAGCGACCTCTCTAGGAGGCACCGGGTAGAGGTGGTAGCACCGGCAGTTAAGGTGGCCTAAGACAGAAGAGGGGTTTCCTTGGGCCTGGGGTCTGTCCACAGCTCATCAGTGTGCGGCGCAGGCCATGCCGTGTTTCTGGTCATGCTAGCAAACACACCTCTGCCCCCATATCAGGGCAGACAGGCCCAAAGGCTGCCCTGGCCAGGCCTTAGGAGAAGGGCATGGTTCTCAGCACCCTGGGGCTGCGCTACATCGCCAGCATGGAGCACAGGGGCCTGCTTGCACGTGAGAATCGGGCCACAGGTCTCACTCGTCCAGGTGCAAGCATCCAAGGGCAGGTCGTGCTGCATCCTGCGCCTCTCCCCATGGAGCTGATGCTGACCCTGTTCTCCTTTTCCTTCCCCCTCGCAGGGGCCGGCGCGGCGGGATGATTGCTGACCCACGCAGGTCAGGCTACCCGGTGCCTGGCATCGACCCCTCGTCTGGCCTCCCAAGCCGGCTTCCTCCAGGGGCAGTTCCACCTGGCGCCAGGTTTGACCCCTTTGGCCCGCCAGGCTCCAATGCAGCCAGGTAGGTATTCGGACGGGTGCCAGCCTTGCTGAAGGCAGCTGCTCTGGGCTCTTTCTGCTGGTGGTGACCCGGAGCCCTGTGACCTCTTCCTGTTGCCCCGTGGGTGGGGTTTTGGGGGGGCATAACTCAAATCATAATGTTGTCTCCTGATTCTGCAGGCCCAACCCGGATCACCTCCCCCCTCCCGGATACGACGACATGTTTATGTGAGGCGGGCCGGCCCGTGCTCCCGCCAGAGAGGAGTTACCCCTGCCTACGCGAGCGCCTTCCCCTCATGCCCCTGTTCGGCGGACTGCAGTTCTTTCGGCGGAGGTTTCCTCCCTGCCTTCCACATCAGCTCTGAGGGACGTCTGCTCACTTCCCCAGCCTTCCCCCTGTCCCCCTGTCATCTCTCAGCTGCCGAAATACGACTGCAGTGCTCAGAGTAGACGGCCATCCGGGGTGTTATTCGCCAGGCAAGGCTGTCCAAGCCCGGCATGGAAAGCATTCAGTCCCCAGGTTCGCTTGGCACCCCTTTCTCCAAGGCAGCATGGCCTGATGCTGCTGCTTCTTGCTACAAGTATTTGCTCCTCGGCACGTGCCAGGGGCTGAGCTGAGCTGGAGCAAATGAGTGCGGTGGTTCCTGTTGAGATGCTGTGAGTGGCTGCCAGGAGGGGCCTGTGCTGGGGCGCTTGTGCTGCTTCTTCCCTGCCCTGTGCTATTGATTGAGCAGAAGGCTGTGAGGCCTATCTTCCACCTCCCACCCACCAGAAGGGTTTGAATGGGGACATGCCAGCTGGTATCACTGGATCACTTGGGTTTAAAGGGCACCGCAGTAAAACCTGCTGTTAAAAGAAAGGGTCCAGATGCATCCGGGCCCCGGACTGGTGTGCGCAGGTTTGCCGTTCCCTGTTGAAATGGCTTTCTCTCCCCTGGGAAGGCAGGTGAAGGCCATGCCAACGGGAGGGGTGTGGGCTGCACACTGGGTGCAAATGGGGAAGGTGTCTGCTGTCTGTGCTGGGCTGAGTCTGGAGCTGGTTGCGTCGTCTGGGTGCTGGCAGAGTCGGGCCTTGCCCCTGGGCCAGCGCTTGGTGGTACCAGCACAGGGCAAGGGGGCACATGCAGCTTCTGGGCTTTGGGGTCCAGGGCTGGGTTTGGTTTTGTTCGTTCAGGTAGCAGGAGGGCACCTATCCTGGGCAGGATCCCTCCGACATAAATCTTGGGTTCAGGTGATTCTGGCATGCCTTGAGGCACCTCGAAGGCAGAGTCCTGCAGATCCTGCTCCTTCCCATCACCACCCAGTTTGGGAAGATTTAAGTTGTTACTTTTGCTGTTTTTTCTCTCTTGGTTTGAGGATTTTTTTTTTTTTTTTTGGAAAGATCTTTGTGACTCCAATAAAACCCAGTGCAACCCACGGCTCTGGCGCTCCTTGGCCTCTGACCCCTCCCGCCACCTCCTGTGCAAGGAGGTGCATCTTCAGCAGGCCCCACGGCTGGTGGCAACCCAGGTGCCCTCGGGGTCCCCTGCCTGCTGCTGTCTGCCAGGCTGACCCCACGTGTCTCTTAAAAGTAAAGCCACGGAGCCATTTAGCTGCATCTGCTCCCTTTCCTCGGCAGCCACGTTGATGGCATCTTGCTGAGTCAAAGTGGAGCTGCCCCTTGCCTTTTGCTGGTCATAAACACAGGTGCAGAGGAGCAGCTGCTCATCATGGCCGTATCCTGGCTCTGCACAGGGGTGTGGGTGCTGGCAGGATCCAGCACTGTGGCCAGCTCCATCCCAGTGTGCTCCCCCCAGCAGGCTTAGACCTGCCTGGGACCCTGCCTGGCAGGTGTGAGCAAGGGGCAGGCTTCCCCTGGGAGCCCTTTGCCCAGCAGAAGCGGGGCTGCATCAGGCTGGAAGAGGAGGCCAGGCCGGCCCAGCTCCCGCTGGCCCTGCCAGAGCCAGTGCGTTGCAGCAGATGGCCACAGACTAATGCTCGTGCCCTACACACGCACAGCTGGCGTGGCACCAAGTGCCGGATGGAGCTGCACAGGCAGGGTCTTGCAAAGGGAAACAGGACAGGCAGGGCTTAGCCTGCTTCTCCACTGCCCGTAGCTGCAGGAGAACCAGGGAAAGCCTCTGCTCACGGTGGGCTGCAGTATGGGAGCTACTCCCACGCTGCTGACCTCAGGCTATCGAGCTGGCAAGGTGCCCATCGCCCTCTGCCCCCCACAGCCAGCAGACGTGGACGCTCCAGTGGTTTCCCCGCTGTGGGGCTGCAATGCAGCAAACATCTAGTCTTTACTCAGGCCTGCAGAGTGGAAGTGCTGTAGGACAGCCACAGCCACGGGGCAGAGCCCTTCTGTGGTAGGATCGGGCTTTCACTTGGGGATGGGAGCTTTGAAATCTCCCTGCGGCACCCGGGGATCTGCAAGGGACATCTGCACCCCCTGCTCAGCCACCAGCCTTATCAGCCACGACCGGGGCCACCTGGCAGCCGCGTGCATTAATCTTACTCTGCAACCTTTCAGGAGGAGGAAATGCAGCCGGCGTTGGCATGGCCACGTGCAGCTTTGGGAGAGATGTTTGTGTCCTGGTACCTGTGCTTCTGTCTGCAGTGTTTAACTCCAGCCGGCCTGTGACTGCAGCTCCCAGCACCTTGCTCCCACACTACCCAAGGAGGCTGTCAGGTGGGGCTGGCAAGGACCCCTGCACTGAGTGCCTGCGGTGCAGCTCCCCTTGCTATCAGCATTTCATTTGCACCCATGGGGAAAGGACACCAGCCTGGGAGGAAAGCAGCAGCTGCCGCTCAAGCCTGGAGCAGCCCAGCCAGCCCGCTCCCCTGGGGCAGCATTTCCAAAGGACAGAACGGGAACCAGGCCTTCTAGGAAGAGTTTTAATTAGTCCGAGGAAGATGACACAACAGAACGGACAGACAGACAGACACGCACGCTGGCTACAGACCCTCTGCCCAGAACCCCATCCCCTTCTCCAAGCCCCCCGGGAACAGACAGGATGGGACGGGATGTACTGTCAAAGATGCAGACGTGGTACTGGATGCGAGAAGTCCCAGGAGCAGGCAGCACCGTCGGTGTCCTTGTGTCACGCAGGAGGAATGGAGAGAATATTGCACCTGCTGCAACGCAGGAAGGTCACGGGGGCAGAGGGGTATTTCGTTGACTGGTAAAATGATTCTTCCTCCCCCGCTGGGATAACCAAGGCCACTGTTGCGTCGTCCCCAGGAGGAGCTGGGGAAGACATGGGGTTTCTAAGGCAGGGGAATTCAGCTTGCAGCTCAGACTGGGACTCAAATCAACTGCCGCCCTGCAAGAGGTGGGTGGAGTGCAATGCCCTGCAATGCTTTGGCTGGTGTCCTGGGCACCATGTGCCAAGGCCAGGGAGGCTGGTGGAATGGAGAGGTCAGGAAGCAATGCTGCACATTTTTCCCCGGTCTCGTCACGTGCTCCCATTCCTCCTGGCTGGAGAGGTAAGGCACAGCTCACAGGCAGCATTTCTTACCATGCAAAGCCTGCAGACGGGCCTGGAAGGATGCTCGGATGCCCAGAACCAGCCTGAAGCCCTTGTTGGAGCCGTCACAAACCAAACAGTAACAGCTGCTCCAGCCAGAACTGGGACAAACGCTTCGGCTCAATCTGTCTTCTCCCATGTCCTGAGGGCCTCTCTTCTCCCATGTCCTCAGGCCTCTCTTCGGCGCCAGTGTGGGGCAGGGCCCCTGGCATGGGTCCCGGTGGGGTCTGGGTTGCTCCGGTGCAGCACAGAGGGGGCCTGGGCAGCCTGTCCTTCTGACCCGGGGCAGGCGCCTGTCTGTCTGCCAGCCCCCGGTGACTGCTCCAAGGGCAGGGACAGACAGTCAGGCCCTCTCTCTCCACTCCTGGGAGTCGGGTTGGGGGGGGGGCAGAGTCCAGCATACACTTCCTTTCGGCAGCAATCCCGTGGCCCCTGGTGCCCTGTGCTGTCCATGCCCCGTGCTGCATGGTGCACGCTACTTCTACCACTCCTTGCTGTCCCATGCACATCAGCACCCTCTACCCCCCACCTTAAAACCCATGCGCTAGACCCCCCCCATGCCACCCACTCCAGCCCCTGGTATCCCCATGCTCCCATGCAGTATAGGCCTGCACCCCACACTTCCATGCAGCAGTCCTGGGCCCCGCTTGTCTGCACTCTCATGCTGTCCAGCACCCCAGTACCCGCATCCCATAGTCCCAGGGTGCCCTACACTGCCTACAGTCTCACTGCGCAGTGCCATATCCCACCCCGACCCCATTCCCCCCTCTCACATGCTCAGTTCTCTTGGAAATGATTTTTGCAGCCATGCAAAAGGTTTTCTCCAGCTCCTAGTGCTAAGGTACCTGCTACTGCAGCAGTTCCAGGTGACACCCTCCAGGATCCAGCTTTATCCTTCACGTGGTACAGGATGTGACAGCCACACATCCCAGTATGAATCGCCCCGGTGTCATGTGTGCAAGTGCATTTGCTGCCCCGTCCATGAAAGATGCTCTACTCCATCGGCCACACTTTGGTCACACAGAGAAGTCTGTTCACCCTTTGCAAGGGATGGGGAATTCCCACGGTGGGAAGTGGAAGGTGCCCAGATCCTGCAGCAGGGAAGTAGGGCCCCTGGGCTGCTAATCCCAGTTGATGAACCCCAGCATTGCAAGGATAAAGCACCACCCTGCCAGCTACCGCTAGCAAGCAGATGCACTCAAGCATGGGATGCGCATTGCTTCTCTCTATAGTCCAGAGGCAGAAATGGGCACATTCAAATCCCTCCAGATTCATTCAGTGGTTGCCGAATGGAGGCACTAACTAACGGCCCTCTCCCAGCTTCTCAGAATAATCTCCATCCTGCCCTCCGGCGAACACAAGGACATCACCCACGCTGCAAGCAACCTCTGCTTCTCCACGCAAGTGGGAAATGATCTGGGAGTGCAACCGGCTCGTGACCGTGTGAGGAAGGGGACGTGGGCTGGCTCCCATCTGGAATGAAAAGAGCCATGAGTTCTTTCAGGTGATCTCAAAGCTCCTCCCAGTCTGGCAGCCGGTGGCTTATTCACTTAAGGCAACATCACCTGGGCTAAAAAAAGAAGCAAATCCAGCCTGATCCTTGACTGATGCCTCTGTTAATAGGACTCAGCCCTGCCCCTCGGTGACAAAACAGGTCCCTCCAAGCTCATTTTCCCTCCACTCCTGAGTGTGTTTCATTCTCACGGCCATGAGCACTGTCGCATGTTATTCAGCTCGCTCCATGGTTCAAGCTCCCCGTTGCTTTTCTGCTCTGTCCTACGAGTTAAACAAAAGTGTCGCCGGGCAAAGCAGAAAAGAAGAAAGAGCAGGAAACAGAAATATAGCGCAGCGTATAAAAGAGCAAGTGCTGGCTTCATTGAATCCCAGCAAAATCAGGGGGCTTTCTGTGCACGTATCGGAGGTGATCGTCTACCAGGAATCTGAAGATGCTTCACATTGACCGTACCTTAGAGTTTACCAGCATTTGGCAGATACATTGTTAAAGCACTCTCCATTCCCAGAGATTTTAGAAGCTGCAGCCTCTCTCTAATGGAATTCTTCCCTGAATACACTCCATTCATCTTAAATATTTATATTTCGATCAAGGGGATTTCTTTTTTTCCAGTTCCCCATGCCTTCTTAAGGGATAATGCAGTAATACACTGGCAAAGCAATGACAGCCTGAAGCCATTAAATTCTCTTCTTAAACAGTCTTACATTATAATACAAAAGGAGCCCGTCTGATACTCACATTAACCAGGTGTTCGGCAGATGTGATCTCTTAGCAGGTTCAGCCTTTCGTCATGTAAGCAGCATTTCATTGCGTTTAAAGTGACAGAAATAGATGGTTGTCGTGTTATTTAGCAGCGCTGTTCCCTGCACTGGGCTCCTAGTCACCGAGCGGTGAAATGCCAGGAGAGGGGGGTCTTTCGAGTCCCTGGAGAGGTTTATTCTTTCATCCGGACATCCATTTGTGGCGGATCCTGCTCTGACAGCAGCTCTTCTCTAAAAGCCCTTTGGCGGGCTCCGACTAGGGCCAAATCCTTGTTTGCTTTGCTGACATCAGCCCAGTCCTGGGAGAATAGGGGTCTGCTGCTCTCGCTGAGCCTGTCTGCACCTTCCTGGCAGCTCCAGAGAGCACTCCTGTCTCGCACAGATGGCAATGAGTGGTGTGGGGGCATTCGGTGACACCCGACCCGCCGGCTTTATTGCATTGGAGGCCCCAGCCCTGGACAACGCTTCCAGTGAGCCCTGCACAGCGGGGGTTTCCTCCTGCTCCCCTTGCTAGCAGCTGAAGAAGGCCATGCTCCAGGTACTCAAGACTTGATCTATAACCGACTGCAGACAACAGAGAAGCCCTCTGACATTAGTGCATCCTTGGCTCAGGCTGGCAGTCGTCTTTTCCCAAACCCTTGAGCGGGGAGAGCCGAAGACGTCTGCACACGAGATCCTGATTTCTAGATGCTGGTAAACAATCCAGAACTGCGAGGGATCTGCACCGAGCTGGCTGAGAGGATAAAAGGCTCATGTCTTACGAATACGGGACCCAGAACTAACTTCAGGCTGTGAAAAGGAAATGCCAGGCTGGTACCGAAGACTCAGAAACAGCTAGAGAAGGTGCAACTCTAGAACCCGGGCCCGGGGGGCCTGGAGACTCACCTAGTCCAAGCCCCCGCGCGCTGCAGGGTTCGTTCCAGCCGCTCTTTTTAGGCCGCAGCCTTTGGAAGCTCGTCTTGACTCTGTGTGCGCGGGGGGTACCTGGAGACAGGGTCATTAAGTCTGTCCTGCTCTGTATTCATTACTGACAGCAACGCACTGCAGAGCTGTCCAACTGTTCCCCTCCCAACGTCCTGCTGGTGCTGCTTTCTTCCCCCCTCCTCGCAGAACGCTGCGCCTTATTGCTGGTCCCCGTCTTAGGTCCAGGCTGGGATCGGGTGGCATGGCTGCGTTCCTCTGGCAGCCCCACAGAGCAATGACATGAACCTGAGAAGGATGGGGGGAGCAGAAGTTTGAAAAAGTGAAAGGCGTTTGAAATAAGTACCTCCTTGTCTTCTGGAGGGAGAGATAGGCTGTCCCTGCTGATGGCATCCCCGGCTCTGGACTTGCTGGTGTGGATGCTCCGTGGCACTGGGGTCCCAGCCCTTGGTGTCTCCAGGAGGAGACGGTCTTTACCCCGTATTGGTGGCACTGAGGTCCTTGCCCTTGCTGTGTCCAGGAGGTCTTTCCCGCACATCCGTGGCACGGGGGTCCCTGCCCTTGCTGTCTCCAGGTCTTTCCCGCACATCCGTGGCACGGGGGTCCTTGCCCTTGCTGTCTCCAGGAGGTCTTTCCCGCACATCCGTGGCACGGGGGTCCTGCCCCTGGCCGTCTGCAGGAGGTGCCGGAGAAGGTCTTACCCTCGCTATTGCTAAGAGGCGTCTGCCCGGGGTCGGCAGTCGGCAGGCGGGCCGGGGCTCCCGCTGCGCAGCGCGGACCCTCGTGCGAAGAGCGCGCA